AACCATTTTGATGTATCAAGCATTAGAAATACCTGTTACTGCAGGTCATGGATTCAAATTTCCTTTGAGGAACAGGAAAATGCTTGTCAGTATTTTAACACAAACATTAACATGAATGGTGACTTTATTCAGAAAAGTCTAACTGTGCATGTGTTAGCCCTGCAGCAAGTTTGTTTAGGGTAGACTTCTGCATGTTTAAGTCCAACCCTGAGCCACCAAAGCCCGGAATGCAGTGCTGAGGGGCCCTTCCTGCTAAGGGTACCTGGAATTGCTTAGAGTCGACTTTTCCATCTTCTACATTGTCTGAAGGATTTTCTAAGAACTTGAGACAAGAAACACTGACAATACCATTACAAACAACACTACCCCTCCCTATCTTTTTTCATAAAATTGGATTCTTCCTGCTTTTGAAAGGGTAACCTCTGCACTCAGGCAGATGTCTTTGCATCTGTATGAATGCTATAGCTGCTGTCTGCCTGTCCATATAATTGTTTTAAATTACTTGCTGTTAACGAGTCCTAAATTAATACAGTGCATTACTTGCACTGTAATTTCCTCTCCAGTTATGTAACACTGCACCTATACAACACATCATAAATTTGGCCACCTAATGTTAAGCCTCTAGATCCATACTCAGACCCCATAAAAGGGAGGGGTTGCAGCATTTTTCCCCACTCCAGTATCCCACTCATCAGATGCATGTTACTCTGGCCTACAACCAGCAGCCAGCTGTGATGAGTACGGAGGCTGCTGGGAAAGGAGGGCAATCACAGCCCTGCCTGGCTGCTTCCCTACCACAGCCTTGTGCTCACGGGAGCACTGCTGGAGCAGCCCTTCCTGGTGTGCACCCATGTCTGCTCACAGGTCAGCCTTGCTCTGGTGGATTAGGAACTCTCCTGTCACAAGACCCAACACATGGCATCTCAAGGCCTGGAAGTCCAGCAGCTGGAGATGTGGGGTAAGGCTGTAGGTCTGTGAACATCTGAAAATGCAGTGGTAAGTGGAGGATGTTTCCAGCAAATGAAATGCAGCTGGAAACACAGTGGTTGCTTGTGAAGAACAACTTACTCATTTTGCTTTTTGTGCCTTAATTAAAACTGCAGCATGATGTCAGTTTTGAGACCTGCAAGGCCTTTGAGAGTTCAGTCACATAATTCCCCTAAAGACTCAGTGATCTTTCTGTAAGAAGACATTTTAATAAAAGTGATGGTTATATATGACACTTTATCAAGATGCAAGGTTGAAGGAGTGAATGTTATGTTACTGATGGGAATTATTCCCTCTTCAGAGGTTGCAGAAACTTCCTGTGTTTCAGCTCAAGCACTTATGAAATTATTTATCTTCATATTTTGATCATTAATTCCATAGTTTAATGTAACTCAGTGTGTAACAGAGATGACACGCTAAACCAAATCGTACATTTATTTCAATATTTAACATTTTTGCAAGGATCTTGCTGAAGCAGCAAGTTGTAAGGTCTACTGATAACCAGGCAGTTTCTGCAGAAACTTAAATTTTTATTTTTAATTCAACCCATTGGTTTCAAAGATGATCCAAGTCAGTTCAAGATGAGGCTGTCTTTATTCTGCAACTGCAAGCTGTCATCAGACAAATTAATCTCTGCTTATTCCTTTTGTATTTAACAGCAAGTTATTCAGCACCCCATCTATCTCATGGGCGTGGAGAATCTGGAAGCTACTGGTGAAGATGAAAATGTAAAAACTGTTAAATCATTTCACTGCTAGTCATTTGAATGGCCACTTATTGGTGATACTTAGGGAGAAAGACCTCTTTCTTTTCTGGGTTTTCCTCCAAGCTTTGTGTTAGCTCTTGTTCATTTGGTTGATGAAAGCTTTTAGCAAAACAGATATTTGCACAATCTTTACTTCAAAGAAAATTTTCACATCTCAGTGGAATGACAACCAGAAGCAGCTGCTATTTATTTAGGGAGGAAAGGATTGAATGTGTATGACCAGAAGTTTCCTCACAAATGTGGAACAGAACCATTTGGAATAAGGCGTTGCTGTTAGAGGGTTATCAACAATACAGGTTTCTAGATAGAGTTTAAAAAAAAACCCCAGATTGTTTCTATTTATACCTGAGTTTGCCTTGGTAACCAGAGACTGCATGAGGGATGCAGTATTTTCCCACCATGGATGTCTCCAAAATCCATGCGCAGCCATGCGCTATATCCAGTGTCTGCAGAACTATCACAAGAACTGTCACAGTCATTTCTAAGAGAGGATTTTACATATTAAGAGCAAAGAGATTTCAGAAAGGGAGTTATATTAGTAAAGATTCAAAATAATTTGTACTCATTTCTATCTTATCTACTTGATTCTTTGATCTTCTAAGCATTACAAGGACCATTGCTCTTAAACACTTTTTCTTAATTACCCTGAGCAGCTTACCCGAATCCGAGGTGGCAGGATTTACTTATAATTGGCTACATTATGCCTGCTCTATCTAGTAGCTGAATTAGGTAAGAATGGACTTGAATCAGTGTTTTTTTATACTTTAACTCACTTTGCTTACCTTAAAATCAGCCGTTTCCTACTTTGCAAGATTATGTGCAGCTTAGGTATCCTTGTAGCCCTCTGCAGCGCTTAAAAGCTGAACCAGGCTATGCTCTCGCAATTTTACTGTTCTGCTGAGCTTTAGCCCTGCTGTGAGAAAAAGCATTTCGGTTCTGGGCATCTGTTTTAGCCATAATTCTATGTTGTTGAGTTTTCCTTATCCTTCTATTGTCAGCAAAGGTAGAAGAAACCAAGTGTCTTTCTCTGCCACTGTAATACCCAGCTACTGCATCTTAGAAAAGGGAAGAGCCGTCAGGTATAGGCTTGGAATGGATATGGGGAATCGGGGCCCAGAGTGAAATTCTAATGGACTTGGTTCTCTTTTAAAGCTTCACTATCCAGTTATGATCTGGAAAGTAATTTCTGATCTCTGGTCTAAGGTTCATGGAAGCCAGTGCCAAAGCAGCTTTATCAGGGAAGAAGGGGAAATACTTCCAGAAGCAGGGCAGGATCAGTAGAGAACCTGCTGGGCTCCAAAGATATTCAGGGATATCTGACTAACAAAACCACATTAGTGGGATAAAAGCACTTGCTGCATTGTCATCTTTGGGAACAAAGGTTTAAATTTTCACATACAGCTTTTTTTTTTTCACTCCAATTGCTCTTCAGCCAGACCCTTGGTCTTATGAAATACTGCAGGGGAAGAAAACTGATCTGGAGGCAGAAAGGAGGCAATTGGGAGCACTGGAGCCCTGCCACTCTCCTCCACATTTTGGTTGGAGATCCTAGGGCTGATGTGGTGCTGGAGGTAGAGGGAAAAGCTTTGTGCCATTTGGAAGTTTCCATCTATTTGCCTGATGGTGTAGTTTAGGCACAGTGTGACTCAAAAATTCATTCAGAGTTCTCATTTCAAGTGTAATCACTCTCATTGCTTTTCCCACACTGCCTATATAAATAATTAAAAAATAATCAAAATAATAGCACAAGCAATTTCAAACTCAAAAGCAGTAGTGGCAAGGGACCAGTACTTTAGGACATAAAACCACAGTAAGCTGAATCATCACACCCGTTCTGGCATGTTTATGAGGAGAAGTCTGAGTTGCCATAATTCAAGTATGAACTGGTTTGGGGCAAGTGAAATTTTCGTTTCGATTCTCCTACAGTAGCAGAACCCTAAAGACAAGCTCTACTTCCTGTCATCCCTGTGCAGCCTGTAATGATCCCCTGCAAAGATTTCCACTAATCTTGACCCACTCTGTTGAAATTGCCAGTTTTTAGATGTAACCACATTTGCTTTTGTCAGCCAGCCGGATTTGCTGCTACCTGGGGGAAAGAGTGGGGATGTTTTCTGAAGCTTGTTAGGCTCCCCAGCTTCAAAGTGCTGGTCTTGCCCCATCGGTGGTGTCACTGGGATATGCCATGGTGCCACAGAGCCACTGGAGATGTGTGCAGAGGAGGAGTGCTGCTCCCCTGCCCTACTCCCAGGGGCTGAGGAGCATGGCAGGAGGCACTGAGCCTTTCTGTGGAGTACCTGCGGCACTGCCTCTGGGCAGCCAGAGTGCCAGGACACTTCCCTGGCTCTCCCATGGCCTTTAGCAGTCTTTGGAGCCAATTCAAGTAACAAAGGAGAGGAGCACTGTGTTGTTTTGCCAAACAAGAGATTAAATGGAACCAAAGGTGAAGAGAAGCCCATGCACAAACAGCACTGCAGGAGCATTTCCACTTCACCGCCAGCCCAGAGCAGCTTGGGCTGTGCTGCCTTGGCCAGTGCTCCACTGAGATGCAGAACTGCTCTGTTTCTGCCATGGTTACCAGTCCCAGGGACCGCTTCCAGGCTAGTGATGAGCACTTGCAGATATAATGCTATCCGTGCCAGCAAGGGAGGAGGAGGAGGCCAGTGGGCTGGACAAACACCTTCCTTTGCACTGATTTCCAAAGACCCTCGAAACAAAAGAAGAAGCTGTCACCGCAGGGAGGCTGCGGGGTCATTGGCAATGTCCGACAGGGCGTGGGAACTTTTCCCCTCGTACCTTGTGGCGTGGCATTAGGTCCGCATGAACCCCTCTGGGCCCAGCGTCCCGCAGGAGGCACCGCGCGGCTTCTCCCAGCGCCGGGCACGGGCACAGCCCTGCCCAGCCCTCCGCGCTGCCAGCCCCGCACCACCCCGGATCGCCTTCCGTCCTGTCCCCCAGCCCGCTCCCGCCGCGCCTGAGGGATAGGAGCGCTCCGGAGACCCTCCCGCCCAGCCTAGCCCAGCACAGCCCTCTGTGCCCGGGCTTTACCTCCAACCCCCCCGGCGCCGCCGCTCCCGGCCGGGCGGTGCGGGGAGGCCGCGCCCGCTCCGGGCCGCGGCGCTGGGGGCCGGGCCGGGCGCTCTACGGCAGCGCCGCGGCTGCGGCGGGGAAGGAGCGGGTTGGGCCCGGGCGAGGGGCCGGGGCTCTGCCCGCGGCGGCCCCGGACCTCCCCCTGCCCGCGGCGGCTCGGGCAGCGCGGGGCTCGAGCAGGGCCCGGCCGGCGGCCGAGGCCGCGGCCAGCCGGGGCCTGGGGCTGCAGTCGCCAGCGGCGGGATGGCCCTGGTGCCCTATGAGGAGGGAGCCGGCTGGGGAGCGCGGCAGCTGCACAGCCCTTCGGCCACCTTCCACTTCGCCAGCCGCACCATCCGCCTGCAGCAGGACTGGCGGCGGCTCGGAGTGGCGGCCGTGGTCTGGGACGCGGTAGGTGCTCACGCCGAGCGGAGCTTTTCTGCGCTCCGTGGCTCCCCGTGGCGCTTGCCGAGCTTTCAGGATCACTTATAAAATTATTTAACGTTAAAATGTAAAGGGAAGGGGTTTTTTTCTGTTTTCTTTCTTATTTTCTTTTTCTTTTCTCTTCCCCCTCACTCCCCAAGAGATCCTGAAGGACTGCAAGGGAAACGGGCCACCTAAATCCTGCACGGCCAGTGCCAAATACAGGAAATATCCCGGATAATTCACAGAACTCTCACCCATTTCTTAACAGTGGCTGGTGATGTTTGCTTGGTGCCCTTCAGAGCACAGCATGGATCCCGCTGCTCGTAGCCTCCAGAAGGACTGCTGATAGACTTTATCCTGTGGATAGGAACAGTCCAAAACAGGGGTTTGTGGCAGGCCCAAAGCTGCAGGGCAGTCACTCACCACTGTAGAAATCCAAGGGCTTCCCATTCTTGGCTTTTGCAATACTGTGTTCATTCACTAGTGTTTGACACCACCTCAGCTTTTCCTTTCCAAATGCAACCTTCTGTTATATTTGGGGATTCATGAAGCACTTACCACATCTGAGTTGTAACCTCTACAGTTCTTTTTTCTTTTTGCCAGCAAGAGCCTTCCATAAAACTCATAAAAAGACCACATGTGCACACAGGAGGCAGAGAAGGGCTGAATGAAGTCTTGGTGCAGCCCTGAAGTGCCTGACTCTTCCCATAACCTTCTCTCGGGTTAAACCAGAAACTGTGTGTTCAGTATGACTGAAATGAGCCCTGTGCTTATTGTTCTTGTCTCTTGGCTTAGGCTGTTGTTCTATGTGCTTATCTGGAGATGGAAGGCATTGATCTCAGGGATCGGTCCGTGATTGAGCTGGGAGCCGGGACTGGATTGTTGGGAATAGTGGCCACGTTATTAGGTAAGGGCTTTTTTGTTTGCTCACTTAAAACACTTTACAACTGTAGTAAAACTAGTGCTTTTACATCTGGTATAGTGTGAGCACCAAGGCTGCATATGTGAACTGTGGTGGTTCCTCTCTGAGTCATCTTCCTTTCTCGTTAGACTTGAGAGCCTGCTGCAATATTTGTTGTAGTGATGGTGCCACTGCAGTTTACTTTATGGCGGGACCCTGTTAAGGCTGACGCCTGTTGCCATGGCAGGCAGCTCAGCAGCAGTCAGCTCTGCAGCTATTCTCCCCCAGGGAACAAGTGCTGAGCTTCCCGTCTTCCACTTGTCCTCGTAGGCAGATAAAGCTACTGACAGAAACCGCTCTGAGCTTGCGTAAGCCATGTTAGCCTGCCTTGCAGACAGGCCAGCCAAGGTCTGGAGAAATGAAGTGCTTTGCCGGTGATCTTACTGTGGCTGAAGTAGGGACTGGGTATTATGTTAAATTTGTGCTACCTGTCCCAGGTTAACTTTGTAATTCAAAACTCTAGTGGCTGTGCAAGAATAAATATTGAAATAATAGAAACAGAGCCTTTGACGAAATACAGTCATGCCATGCAAAATCACACAGGCGCAACTGTCTGACCTGTGAGAGAGGCTCTCTAGCTACCTCTCTCCTACTGAAAAAATACAGGATTGAGGCAGGTTAATTGTAACAGCCTCTCTTATTCGTTCTTTTGTTGCCTATGGAAAGGTAGAAGGTAGCTCCTCGACTTTCATGCACTAACAAAAAGCACCAGAAAACACTTTCTGTTCCCTACGCAGCTTAATCTTCACGTGGAGTACACTTTATATTTTTAAATGACTGATGAAGGGTAGGATGTATGTAAATAGTGGGGGTTTTGCTTGTTTTGTTCTTTTGTTTGTTTGGTTTTAATCAGGCAGTTCAGGGGAATTGTTAATGTTTAATAAGGAGCCTGCTTGACCTAGAGCATTGTATTCCAGATGCTATATTTACAGACACAGACTTTTTGTCTGAGCCATGTACTCCTGTACTGCTTAGGTGCTCGTGTCACTATGACAGACAGGGAGGCAGCGCTGGAATTCCTGGAGTCAAACGTACAGGCTAATTTACCCTCTGAACTACGTCCAAGAGCTGTGGTGAAGGAGCTGACTTGGGGAAAAGACCTGGATAACTTCCCTCCAGGAGCATTTGACTTCATCCTGGGTGCAGACATCGTTTATCTGGAAGAAACTTTTGCAGAGCTGCTTCAGACGCTGGAGCACCTGTGCTCAGAGAAAACTGTGATTCTTCTCGCCTGTCGTATCCGCTATGAACGGGATCACAAGTTCTTGAAGATGCTGAGAGATCGTTTCTCCGTATATGAGGTCCACTATGATTCCAGTAAGGATGTTCATATCTACAAAGCACAGAGGAGTAGTCGCAAGGATGACTTTTGACTCTATGCTTTGTTAATAAAGCACTGCTGCTGTTCAGTTCTCCCCTTTGTTTCTACTCAATACACTCATTCCTAAGCATAAAGTTGCAGTTGTTGTTATTTCTCTGGCTTCTTGTTCTGATGGTCTTGTTTGATAATTTGGTCTGACACGGCAAGGACTGTACTTCTGTTCTGCATATTGAACCTCTGCTTCATTTCGGATACAGTTGTGTAGGGTCTTCCACTGACTTTTTATCAAATGTAATTTTTGAAACTGATTTAAGCTGCAGAAATCTCCAGGCATCAATTATTATCAGAAGGTCTGTTGTTTAAAATCAAACCACACTTAGTTTCTGTGGGAAACATGCATGTTACAGTGGGGTTTTTTCCTCTTATCACTTCCTTAACTCTGAAAAGTAAAAGTGGGTGAAATAGAAGCTAATCCTCCAGCTCTAAATGCTTTAACTCTCAGGTCTTTGTGTCTTAAAAGCTGTGGTAAAAGAAGCCACGTAAAGGGCAAAAAGAAACAAAGGCAGCTGCTATAAAATTGTTCTATTGCTGTCACTGCTGAATTGAAGAGGAATAGGGAAACAAAGAACAAGATCTGGAGCAGGGGGCTGGGAATCAAGATTGCCAAGTAAGCTAACTTCGAAATCAGTGGTATTTTTACCTGACTTGCAGGCGTGGGGGCTATGCCTGCAGTATCAAAGCAGTCGTGGTTCATGGGTTGTCCTTAGCAAGTCTCCCCCACACAGATCAAGGCTCCTTGAAGGATTTAGACATGCACATGGAAAGTGAAACAAGGAGACTCAAACTGTTCTTTAAATATCAAATCAGTCCTTGACTCTCAAGGTACTGCTAAATAATCTACTTTATGCCTTTGTTTGTGCTCCCTGTCTCTGAGAGTTGTTATTTAGGAGAGGAGGGTGCAGCTGTAAAGTCTTTGTAGCAGCAGAAATAGTTATTCTTGTGTTACTTGGGGCAGTGTCTCGATTTCAGTGTGCTTTCAGTGCACAGTGGTGATTAGACACTGTTCTAAGTAACTGATTTCAAACCTTGAGCTTGTAAAACATGTCTGTGTGTTTATGCCACAAGATCCTATGTGAAAATGCTGGAGCCTGGAATCCTGCTTGCACCAGCAGCAGAATTCCTTCTCTTTCTACTGGTAGAAGAATGAAACTGATGAAAACAAGGGGCTTAAAGAAGACAGCTATACTTCTAAATGCAGGAACTGCTTTACTACTTTTTTTTTTTTTTTTCCTAGTGGATGTGCAACTTCTTTTGCTTTAAACTCACAGGTCAGATTCAGGCCTTAAGCATATGCTTGTCTTTGGCACTGGCAACAGCAAACACCAGCAGCTGCTTTGGGCCATGGATGTTTTGGAGCTTTTTGTCCCTTCTGCTTCCATCATACTTCCTAACTGCAAAAGATGCAGAGGATCGGTGGTCCAGAGATCTGTAAATGACACATCTATCATCACAGCTGTGATGAACAAGGCCCGAAGGTTTGTGCCTCATCCCTGGCATGTTTTCAGTGAAGTTCCTTGTTTGGCTCTGGACTTGGCCTCAGAGTTGCTGCTCTGAAACACAACAGTATCCTCAGAAGCCACATGGTGTCACTAAAACAGTACTTAAGCAGCTGGCTGGGAATTTGCAGCCTCAAACTAGAGTTGAAGTCTGTTTGAGGGAAGGGAGACAGCACCTTTGATTGGAAACAGAACATGATATGAGCTTTAATGTGCCAGGCGTGGCTTTTTCTGTCCTATGAGCTGGGTGAGCAATGGTTGAAAAGAATTATGAGCTCTCTCCACTCTCTCTGGCTCTAGTATTTGGATTGTGGCTCTAAATTCTTGCCACTCCTCTTCCTTTTCCTCCCTGCTGGCATTTCCTTGTCTCCAAGCTCATCTTTGATTAGGCATTAGGCTCATCTGTACAGTGGGCTCCCCCTGGGCTGGAGCTGGCAGAAAGCAGTGTGCTGGTGCTTGGGCTTGTCAATGTCCATGATTTGGTCCATGGGGAACGTGGCAGTGCTTGGCCCTCACAAGAGGCTGGAGCTTGCAGTAGTGACAGCTGTAGCAGGTTGTCCTGTTGCCATAGCAGGAACATGCTAAAAAGACTGATTAAATAGCACCGAATAAAGCCTAGTGCAGCACCCTACACACTTTTAAGAAGGGGGCTTTTCCCTAGGCCTTGTTTTGAAGAAAGGAACGGTTTTGTACTTTTAAAATAAATCAGTTTAATTCCATCTCTTTCTTACTGTTCACTTAAGCTTTCAGTGTCAGCTTTCCTGTTGCTCCAGTCACTCCTCTTACCCACAGCCTTTTTGCCAGAACAGGCATATAGAGACCAGGCTTGGCTTCCTTTGCTGTGCTGCTGTTACACAGCAGCTGTATGCAAACCCAAGGGAATATGTTTGAAGGCTGAAGCAATGCTACTGCCCATAAGTAAATACTCGGGGAGAAAAGCATGAGATGACACTGGTAGCTCAGGGGAGTGCCTTGCCCTTGACCTGCAGAGCTGAGCTCTTGATGGGCTCCCCCCCACCAGCCCAACAAGTGGCACCCTCTTCAACAGGACACCTTCTCCTCTGACTGCTACTGGGGTGCAGGTGCTCCATTAGATTTAGGAGACCAGATCCAAGAATACCACCACCATGTGCATATCAGTTGAGGTTGCTTTTAAAGCCAGTGTTTAGGGGGAGGCACCAACCACCTGAACATAACTCAGCTGAAACCTGATGTCCATTCTGGCTGGGCAGTGCTCCCACTCACCTGCACCAGGCACCTAGCAGTGCCTTCTGTTGTTCCAGGTTGGGCTTCACTGATGTCTTGATTTCCCTTCACACTCAGCTTCAGGGAGAGGTCAGGAGTCAATCATGCCGGTATTGAATCATGCCAGAGGTGCAGGACAGAAGCAGCAGAGCTGTAATAGCTGGTGAGTGAGCAGAGAGCAGCCCCCTGCAGTGACACCTGCAAACTCTGGTGTCCCAGCCCTCTGCTCCCAGGCGAGCTCCTGCTCTAACATGAGATGATGCAAGATAATGCTAGAGTGGCTGTTTGGCAACTATATCAACACCCTGCCCAAGCACCTTCTGTCCCCCTGTTCACCCCAGTGCTCAAGAATCACACTCTCCTGTGGGTGGTTCCAGTGCATTGGTCCTGTTTGGTAGCAGATGATGTGAGCTCATCTGTAGGGAGGATGTGTTGGGGTATTGGTCCCTGGGCGACACATAAACAGTCTCGAAAATTTACTCACTCTAGGGATTGGATTCAAGCCACAGGAGAGTGACCAGATAAGACATGAACATGATGTGAGGCTGAGAAACCATCCCTGAAACATGCTATTTTGCAAGAAACAAGTTTTTCTAAAATCTCATTGCAACTAAAATAATGTTTGATTAAGACACATGGTATGAAATTCAGCTCTGTAACTTACTGACCAAGAGCTTTGAGGTGCATCAGTGTCAGAAGACTCAGGTTAAGCAGCTGACCTACTGACTGCGCAGAGATCTGTGTTACCCACTTTTCAGTGCAAAATTCCAGCTAATCTGCATTTTTCTCTCATAGACTAACCCCTGTATGGGATTCTCCCTCATTACTGAGGTGTAGATTTTTCTGAGCAAGTACGTGAATGGCATTCTGAAAACACTCAGTTGTGGGAACCACAAAATCCCAGCTGTAATGAGCTGACCTTATGGCTTTCCCCTTGATTTCACTGGAGGTGTGTTTACCTCAGTGCTGAATTTGTTCTCCTGGCTTTCATCCCAGTGTTTGGATCCAGCCTTGCAGATTACATAACTGGGTTGCGATCCTTGCAGTGTTTGCTGCCTTCTGTTTCTGTTCTGTTCTTAACATCAGTAGTGCATGGTTTACAGGAATGCTTAAAAGTGAGAAATACAGCATATTTTAACTGTGAAAGGCATAAGTCTTTCAGACATTACTAAACAGAACTAACTGCCACAAGAATGGATGCTGAAAAGCAGGTTTAAAAATATCGGAAGTGGAAGAAAAACTTTGTTTTTCAGGACTTAACCCCTCACTAGTCTAATTCAATCAAGATTAAAAAAGCCTTCTCCTTGGGGAGAATACCTCATGAATACTTAGAAAGGCCACAGATCATGAGAGGACACCACAGTCAGCTCAAAATGTGCCTTTTCTCATGTCCGTACCTAGCTACCATTTGCCACTAAATTAGTGTAAATGGAACACCCTGCTCAAAAAAGAGACTTTGCAGAGTTTTTTTAAAGCATGTTTATGTGACTGCACATAAATGTTTGTGTAAAAAGGGAGTTATGACAGTTTATACCACAAAGGTTACAGTAAGAAAAAGCACTTTTTTATGACAATAATTCACAAATTCACAAGAATCACTTTAATATACAAAGCAATTACTACCATTCTGAAACACAAAGCAGCTAATATGTACATAGTGTTAATAAAATGCATTATAACCCAGTACAATTTCTTTAAACACAGATAAAGCACAAAAAATATAAGTAAAAAAAAAAAAAAAAAAAAAAAAAAAAAAAAAAAAAAAAAAAAAAAAAAAAAAAAAAAAAAAAAAAAAAAAAAAAAAAAAAACAAACACCAAAAAAAAAAAAACAACAACAAAAAAACCCAGAACACAACAGGGATGTTTCTAGGTTTTTGGGGAGATGTAAAAAAGAATTTATTTTCCCCCAGTAATGGGTTTTCATTTAGTCTTTTAAATTCCACAAGTACGTGGAAGTCAAGCTCAACTACCCTGTTCTGTGCTGACATGGTTTGGGTAAAGAATCAGAAATGCAGATGAGGTGAACTTACTCTTTCCAGCTTACATTACAAAGGGAGAATAATAACCCTCGCTCTGGAAGCTTCCCTGAAAAACACTGTTCCAAAACAATTTCAAATTATAAATCCAGAACAGAAAAAACTCCTTTTTGAAGTGAACAACCAATCTGGGGAAAAGTCTATGGAGGGGCTGGCTGCCAACAAGCACCTCTTCTTGCTCTGTTCTCCATCCCAAGAAGTCCATATAAGCAGCACAATTTCAAATCTCATTCAAACTTGAACTTCTAGAACTTTTAAAATTAATGTTTTAATATAAATAAATGTAATTACACACA